AAAAAAAAAAAAAACTGGCTTAGTTTTAGCTAGTATATCAGAGTCCATTTTCCCTAATTCCCGAGGAAAATTGAATATTGGGAAAACGTAACAAAAAATAACTTAATCTTATAATTTATCTTGAACAAGCAGAAATTACATTTTGGCTTTTTTTTTTTAATGGGGGGAGGGCTACCAGGAATTGAGCTTAGGACCTCATGCTTGCCAGACACTTTTCTTTGTTTATTTTTGAGACAGGGTCTCATTCTGTAGTCCAGGCTGGCCTTAAACTCACCAGTAATCCTGCTGCCTCAGCCTCCAAAGTGCTAGGATTATAAGCATGTGCCTTTATGTCCAGCTTTGACTTTTATAATAGATTAATTCTATACTTGATACTGAATCTTAGAATCATATTTGACTAAGAAGCACTTTCAAGAAGCAAACTTGATAAACTTCTTTGCTAAATATGCTCTTTCAGATTAGTGATTTACATCACTTGGGGTTGGTTATAAGGTTGAATTTTGGTGTGTTTACAGGTATATGCTGTATGTATATATGTTACTTTTGGAATATTGTGAGGCATACTATAGTTAAACTCATTGTCTGTTAGTGTCATACTTTATGTTTTTACCAAAAAAATAATTTAATGTATTTGGTACAGGGTCTCACTATGTAGCTTGGACTCATAGTGATCCTCCTATTTTCAACCTCCCCAGCGCTGGGATTACAGGTGTGTGCCACCATACCCAGACTCGGTGGCTGGCTCAGCGCATCTGGGAGCAGGGTGAGCATGGCATGTGATGTAGGGGATCAAAATCTGGTCCCTGCACTTGCCTAAGCAGGTACTTAGCCTGCTGAGCTATCATGCTGGCCTGTTACCAAAGATTCTTTATGTGACTTCTAGGTGCCCTTCTTAACAAGTTTTTTTTCTTTGGAGGGTGAGGTCATCTGCATTGTGATAATTATGATTTCCAATATTTTGATTAGGAATTGGGATATAGCTATGTGGAACTGAATGCAAGTGACACACGGAGTAAGAACAGTTTGAAAGCGATTGTTGCTGAATCACTGAATAATACCAGCATCAAAGGCTTTTATTCAAGTATGTAGTGTTTTGGACTGTTGTAATATGTTCACTTCAGAGTTCTGTAACCAATATTGAATACTACTATGTGGTAAGCACCCGCTAAATGCAGCTGGCAGGAAAGTAAGAAAGGCCTCTGATGTAACTCAGACCACTTTTAGGCTTAAAGGTTCCTGAGAATGTGATAAAAAGGTGTGCATACATGTACTTTTGCCTTTGCATAAGATGTTAGAGGATTCACATGTGTGAAGGAGGGCAGAAGATAAATACAGTGCAGTGTGATGAAGTAATGAGGCCAGCACAGAGGGCCTCTTGTAAGCTACTGATAAAAGGGTAGTATTTGTTTGAAAGGCAGTGAAGATGAGAGGTTACCCATTGGAGATAAGAGATGCCATCTTAGGCGAAAGTAGAAGAGATGAGGTACAGAGTGAAAGTATTTGCTGTGTTTCAGGTTACAGCCGATGGTCCCGAGAGGAAAAGTTCATGGGGAAAATCAAAATGCTCAAATTAAGGACTTAATTGTGTCTGTGTTGAGCCTGTGGTACACTGCTTGGCTACTTGAATTCTTGGTGCTTTCAATAGCAGAAAATCAGTGTTGCTCAGGATATGTTAACTCTTACATGTGGCTAGTAGGAGTGTAAATTGGTCCAATTTTGGAAAGTAGTTTGGCAGTGTTTCTTAATTACATGTATATTGTGCAAAATGACACACATAGGAGGATGCTTATCACAACAAAAGCTTGGAAGCATGTTAATATATCATACACAGTGATTAAATTATGATACATGTATAAAGTGGAATACTAAATGGTGTTAAAATGAAGTATTTTATATTACAGATGAAGAACAAATTATCAAAATACATTAAGTGACAAAATCAAGTTGTGTTTTTTGTTTTTTTTTTGTGGTACTGGGGATTGAGCTCAGGACCTTGCGCTTGCCAAGCAAGCACTTATTCTACCCTAGCCCAAGTTGTATATTTGTATGTATACAGTTTTAATATGTATAGAGTATATCTCAAAAGATATGCAAGGAACTCTCTGGGGAGGGAAACAGCATATAGAAGGGGTGGGAGAATTTGTGCGTTACTCTTACAGCTTTTTTTTTTTTTTCCCCCCGGAACCGGGGATTGAACTCAGGCCCTTGTGCTTGCCAGGGAAGCGCTTATTCCACTGAGCCATCTCCCTGGCCCCTCTTACAGCTTTTGAAGCTGAAAATATGTCATAATTTTCCCTAAAGTAGTGGTTTTTGAACAGTATTGTTTTGGCTTTGTCTCATCCTGTCGCCTCTCCTGCTGTCAGGTGGAACAGTGCCTTCTATAAGCTCCAAGCATGTTCTCATCATGGATGAAGTGGACGGCATGGCGGGCACGGAGGACAGGGGAGGGGTTCAGGTATGAATGATGCATGTTGTGTTTTCAGGCTAACTGTTCACACTTAGATTTTTAAAATATTTCACACACTGATATTTATGGCAATTAAATCATTGTTTTTTTAAAATTTTATTTATTTTATTGTGTGTGTGTGTGTGTGTTTGTGTGTGTGTGTGTGGCCAGCTCAGTCCACCAGGGGGCGGGGCTGGATGGCATGTGGTGCTGGGGGATTGAACCGCAGTCCCTGTGTTTTGCTAAGCTTGTTCTAAGTAGGTGCTTTAGACCACTGAGCCATCTCACCAGCCCCAATTAAATCATTGTTAAAGAGGTTTTTAAAACTTAAATACATTATATGGTATCTTTTACTTAAAAAATTTTAAATTCTTTTTGTTTTAAATTTGCCTTTTAGGAATTAATTGGCCTGATAAAGTATACTAAAATTCCCATTATTTGTATGTGCAATGATAGAAATCATCCCAAGATTCGTTCTTTGGTTCATCATTGTTTCGATCTTCGTTTTCAAAGACCTCGAGTTGAACAGATTAAGGTATGATAGTTAAAAATTTTTTAAAAATCATGCTGAACTATTTATTTAAAGATCACTTTTAAAAAGTACTTCATAAATATTTGTAAAGTAATCAGGTTATATGAGGTTTTTTAAAAGTCACTAAAGATGACAATTCTCCTGTTGTCAATTTCAGGGTGCTATGATGTCTATTGCATTTAAAGAGGGTTTAAAGATTCCCCCTCCAGCTATGAATGAAATAATTTTGGGAGCCAATCAAGATATCAGACAGGTAAACTGACAGTTGTTGATTCTTTAGAATAATGCCCTCCTCCTGTGGGAGGTGAACAGTAGTATTTCCTGATTTTGTCATTGTCTTATTTGTGATTATTTTAGGTTTTACACAATCTGAGCATGTGGTGTGCACAAAGTAAAGCACTAACATATGACCAGGCCAAAGCTGATTCGCGTCGGGCCAAGAAGGATATCAAACTGGTAAAATGCATTTTCCTTCCTAAGTTACTTTCCCAACCCACAGCCCTTCTTGTCCTGTAGACACCGGCTTAATAAAAATGGGTCTTTTAGGGCCAGCCAGATAGGATTAAAGCATCTGCTAAGGTAGAGCACAGTAGCCATGGTTCCATCCCTGGCATGCAGTGCTGGCCCTGCCCCCATGAGACTGTGATTGAGACTGGGCGTGGTGGTACATGCCTGTAATCCCAGTGCTTGGGAGGCTGAAAACAGAAGAATCACTATGAGTCCGATCTAGTAGTGAGACCCTGTAGACCCTGTACTACTGCATTTAAAAAAAAGGGGGAGGTCTTTTTTGATCTATTTCTAAAGCCTATGGATACTCATCAGGCCTCTAGATGCCTGCTAACATTTTCTAGCTCAAATAAATTTCTCCCCAGGTCTTGCAAAATGTCCCTTATAAACTTTGGGAAAGAGATAAGTTACACTCGTGTTTCAACAGTTGCATCATGGCTTTCCATAGTTCCTTATTTGGCTTTCATGTTCTGGTTTTGCTCTAACTGGAATAAACTTTCAAATGGTTAACCTGTCTAAATGTAGAGGTCTGGGCTGGGTGTGGTGGTGCACGCCTGTAGTCCCAGCACTTAGGAGGCTGAGGCAGGAGGACCACTGTGAGGTTGAGACCAGTCTGGGCTATGTAGTGAGTTTTAAGGCCACCCTGAGCTGCATAGTGAGATCCTGTCTCAGAGAAAAAAACAAAAAGGTAGAGGTATGTATCAGTTATCTTTGTTGCCCGTTTACTAATCAGAATTTATTATACTTAATAATTGAGTAGTGTTTTTAGAAATCAATATGCTATTTTTATGAGCATTTTTAGGTTCACAGCAAGATTGAGTGGATAGTACAGAAATACATCCCCGCCCCCCTCATCAGTACCCCTGCCCAGTGTCGCTGTGCTTACTGCAGTTTCTAACCCTGCATTGGATGCACCATGTCACTCTTGAGTCCACAGTCTGCATTAGGTTCATTCTTGGTGTTGCACATTGTGTGGTTTGGGACAAATGCACGATGGCACTTTTCCATCATTGTAGTGTCAGAGTAGTTTGTCTGCCTAGAAATCCTCTGCACTGTTTCTTCATTTCTCCCCTTCAACTCTTTTTTTTTAAAAAAAACTTATTTATTTATTTATGTGTGTGTGTGTGGCCAGCTCAGCCCACCAGGGGGCGGGGCGGGCTGGCATGTGGTGCTGGGGGATTGAACCGCGGTCCCTGTGCTTTGCTTAGCTTGTTCTAAGTAGGTGCTTTAGACCACTGAGCCATCTCACCAGCCCCTCTCCCCTTCAACTCTTGGTGGCCCTTCACCTTTTTTTTGGATCCATCATTTGGCCCTTTCCAGAACCATACAGTGTGCAGTCTTTAGATGCTGGCACAGTAATATGTAATTAAGATTCCCTCGTGTCTTTTTTGGCTTGATAAAAAAAAAAAAAATCGTTGGGTACTACTACATTGTTTGGATATACCACAGTTTTTCACCTTCTGAGGGACATCTTGGTCACTTCCAAGTTTTGGCAGTTATGAGTAAAGCTACTGTAAACATTGGTGTGTATTTATAGATAGGCTTTTTTTTAGACAGGCTCTTGTTATGCAGCCCATGTTAACCTCAGATTCACAGTGATCTTCTTGCCTCAGCCTCCCAAGTGCTGAGATTACAAGTGTGCACCACCGTGCCCAGCTTATATGTATGTTTTTCAGTTAATTTGGGTAAATACAAAGTTTTGTAAGAATCTGCTGAACTGTCATCTAAAGGGCTGTTGTGTTCCTGCCAGCCGTCAGTGACAGTTCTTCCCTCTTCCCCACAGCTCAGTGTTTTGGATTTTGGTTATTCTGATAGGTGTGTCTCTTCCTCTTTTCAGGGCCCTTTTGATGTTGCCCGGAAAGTGTTTGCAGCTGGAGAGGAGACAGCTCATATGTCGCTGATGGACAAATCTGATCTCTTTTTTCATGACTATTCGATCGCACCCCTCTTTGTCCAGGAGAACTACCTCCATGTAAAGCCTATAGCTGCAGGGTGAGCATGCAGACCGGGAAAGAGCACTACCACCCTCTTGGCACTAGGGAGGCCACATACGTGGATGGCAGTGGCCTGGGCTGTGGGGCGTGGTGTGATGCAGTCTGGTTCCTTCTTGCAGGGGTGACATGAAAAAGCACTTGATGCTCTTAAGCCGAGCAGCAGATAGCATATGCGATGGTGACCTGGTGGATAGCCAGATCCGAAGCAGGCAGAATTGGGGTCTTCTTCCCACACAGGTAAGCCAAACCTCACCTCCAAGTGTACATGCTGCTTTGGCTGAAGAGGTCAGGGTGTCTTTAGGCTCCTGTAATTACTTAAAATACCACATAATGAAAATACACTGGTCATTTTATGAGTCTTGCCTTTTATTTCCAGTGTTTTTTAAAAAATAATGTGTTTAAATGGAGATAGGGAAATAGGAAGACAAAGTGTTGCTTATAGTGAAAGATACGCATCAGAAGTTTCTAGTTTTTGTTGTTGGTGGCTCCCTGGGAGGATCGCTGGATAGCTAAATGTGGCTGGGCAGGTCGGCAGCCATCGCTCTGATACAGGAACTCTGATTTTCATTTTTGCTTAAAGAAAGCAAATCCCTATATTACAGTGGGTACTGTGTGTACCTTGGGTGCTCTATTTATGTTGCTATCTTCAAGTGAAAACAGAATTTGTCAAGCATTTATATTTAGGAGTGGTAGTTCATTGTATTTATATAGCACTAGTGGCCTGAGGAATAAGCAAGGAATCTTCAAAAGGCCTATCCTCTTCTGAATTTTTCCTACACATTGGTTCAAGGCAAAAGCAAAGACAAAGTACAAGACATGTTCTGGAGATAGAGAATTTTTTATATTTTAAGAACGGTTATTTTTCTTTTTTTCCTTTTTCTTTTTTCGTTTATTTTTTATGATAATAGGCATTGAACTCAGGATCCTGAGCTTGCCAGGCAAGTGCTTATTCTACTGAGCTTTCTCCCCGGCCCCTTAGAACGGTTATTTTTTTCTGAGGCAGGGATATAGCTCAGCAGGAGAGCGCTTGCTTATGTGCACAAGGCCCTGGGCTCTCTCCCCAGTATCACAATTTTCTTAATAATTGTTCCTTTGAAAATTTATCCTACAGAAATAATTTAAACATAGGAGAAGCTTAATGTATACACATATTTCCTAAAGTGCATTGGTTCTCTGCAAAAAATTGGAGAAAATCTCCATGTCCGGCAACAGAAGTATGATTGTTATGGTAAATCCTCTTGGTGAAATATTTAGTACCCTTTAAAATTGTTCACAGTAAAATGATCTAATATGAAAAAGTACTTATGAGAGACTGTTATAGCATGAATAGGACATAAAATTTTTGCTGTAGTGTAAAATTCTAGCTTTGCTTTTTATTTTTTTCGCAGCACTAGGGATTGAACTCAGGCCCTTGTGCTTGCCAGGGAAGCGCTTGTTCTACTGAGTCATCTCCCTGGTCCTTAAAATTCTAGCTTTAAAAAATATGAAAATCTTGACTATAAAAGACATCTAAAAATACCTTTAAAAATTTTCTGAAGGGCCAGAGAATTCTGTAATCATTAGACTTTTTGTATGTTAAGCTACCTGTACTTTCAGTTGCTTATAATAAAAACAGTTGGATTTCTCTGAAGTTAGAGTTTTGTGCTGTGTGGGACATTGACATCCATAAGGTAACAGGGCTGCTGGGATCGTCAGCGGAGGATGCGGATGGATTCCTCATGTGAGGACCATCACTTCTTTGACCAGGGTGTTGACTGCAACTCAGTTTTCCTGGGAGAAGTTGCCCACGTGTACCAGTCAGAGACAGACAGGATCTGACTGCCCTGTGGTTAGGTCCCTGGGACAGCATTGTTTCATTTGGTGCAGACTGTGTATTAGTTTCTTTCCTGTTGCTACTAATGCAGTACCACAGCCTGCTTAAGAAGAAAGGTTTATTTAACTCATAGTTCTGGAAGTTCAGGGAACCACATGGCAAGAGGAGGAAAAATGTGTGTGTGTGGTTTGTGTGCACATGCATGTTTAATTGCCCCCCCACCCCCATCTAGACAGGGTCTCAATATGTACCCCAGGGTGGATTGAAATTCGTGATCCTTGTGTGTCAGCCTCCCAAGTGCTGGGATTACAGGCACGTGCTGCCACACCTGGCTTCTGTCTCATTTCTTATAAAGCTTCCAGGACTCAGACCTGGGGAAGGTATACTTTAATGACCTTACTGAGTCCATTTCACTTTCCAAAGCCCCTTCCTCCACACAGTATAGGCAGATTGAGTTTCCCACCCTTAGTACCTTACAACGGGGATTACATTTTAACACAGCAGGGCTTGGGGAACACACATACTCTCTACTTAAAGCATAGCAGCCTCGGAATCCAATGGCTGCTTACAGAAGTAACTTTGTTCTGACTTTAAATTCTGGGCTGCTGTTGATTTTCCCGTAGGCCATTTATGCCAGCGTTCTCCCTGGAGAGTTGATGAGGGGGTACATGACCCAGTTTCCCTCCTTCCCGAGCTGGCTGGGGAAGCACTCATCAACAGGCAAGCATGACCGGATCGTGCAGGACCTAGCATTGCACATGAGTCTTAGGTAAGTAGAGTCATTGTATTCCTGGCATTTTATTGGTGGGGTATTAACTTTAATCCAATAAGGAGGGCTGGCCAGATAGCTCAGTGGATTAAAGCACCTGCAAGCAGGAGGAGGGGCTGGGGTTCAGTCCTTGGGCCTGCCATGCCGGCCCTGCCCTCTGGGTACGCTGAAATGGCAGTTGAGACTGGGCGTGGTGGTGTGTATCTGTAATCCCAGCTCTTTGGGAGACTGTAAACAGGTGGATCACTACGAGTCTGATGTAGTAGTGAGACCCTGAACACCCTGTAGACCCTTCCCTAAAATTTAAATAAATAAATAAATAAATAAATAAATAAATAAATAAAAATCCAGTAAGGAGAGTATGAATCTAAAGACGGATGTTTTAGTTTTGATTTTGTTGCTAACTAGGTAAGTGATTGTGGATAAGTTCCTTATATTTTGTGTGCCTGAGTTTTATCACCTGCAATCTGCATAGTGTTTACTGTTAGGATTTTGGACAATAAAGTCAGATGGTAGATATGTCATAGTTTTAAGATACCTTTTAAAAAAAATGTGTATTTCTGAGGTAATGTTGCTATTTATTGTTGTTGTGACTGTGCCTGTTACTAGAGGAAAGAACTCAATTGCTGAATAATTAGTAGGAAAAACATTGAACTATTTAAAGAAGTGAGCCGGTGTTTTCTTACTCTAGTAGTAAACTGACCCAGTATTTGAGATGGGGAACACAGTCTAGTAACAGGAGGAGGCCACTCAAATAATGAAAGAAAAATAATGTACTGGGAAAGTTGGGGAAGCTCAGAATTACTTATGTTTGGCATAATTTTGTTCAAGTTTAGAAACTTACAAAACATGCACACAGCAATAGTAAGTAAACCTTATTGATTCATTTATGACCATGTGAACTACCTGAACAATCTTGTTTCCACGTCTGATCCCTAGAGTATTTTTTGTTGTTGTTGTTGTTGTTTTGGCAGAATCGGGGATTGAACTCAGGCCTTTGCGCTTGCCAGGGAAGCGCTTATTCTACTGAGCCATCTCCCTGACCCCCTCCCTAGAGTATTTGGTTCCCCGATCCACCTGTAACTTTTGGTTAAAGCTGAGAATAGCTCCTTTCTTCTTTTTTAAAATTTTGCCTGCTAAGTTCCCTGTTCACAGCCTTTGGGATGAGTCTTTTTTTTTTTTTTTTTCCACCCTTAGGTTAGTTTTCTCTTGTTGTTCTGATGAATTATCACAAACAAGATGGCATAAAACAACACAAATTTATTGTTGCCTTGAGATGGGAAGATAATCCTGTGTTATCTCATAGGCACCTGTCATCCGGTCTTTATGAAAAGGAGGTGCCAGTAACAGAGTCAGAGAGGGAGAGGGTGACAGAGGGAGAGATGAGACTCTGGTGGCTTGAGGGGTGGAGAGAGAACCATCAGCCAAGCAGTGCCGGGGGCCCAGCCGAGGCCTGCTTCTCTGCTCTTTGCTGTTTTCTGCCTACTGCTGTGTGAAGGTCATGCTCCCTGTTAGGGGCACCTTCCTGTTGCTCCCACCACAGTCTGTGTGTGTTTTGAGCCTTTGACTTCTGTTTATGGCTGTCCCGTCTCCCCTTCACATTGACCATTTCCAGGGGTAGGAGCTGAGGCTTCCTCATGAGCACATACAGTTACTCCTTAAGAGTTGCTTATGGAATCAAGTGCAGGGTGAGGTCATCAGCATGGACATAGATAGTAAATGTCATGTGTTTTGAGGCAGGTTAGTGTACTAGTTACTTTCTCATTGCTGGGACAAAATACAGGACACAAGTTAGAGGTGTGTTTTAAAGCTCACAGCGTATAGAGATTTGAATCTGTAGTCGGCTGGCTCCAAGGCAGAGCAGCACAGCTGAGGGGCATGGCAGAGGAGACAGTGCCTGGTGTGGCAGGCAGGCAGGTGGCAGCGGGGCAGCGGGGCGGCAGGGCGGCACGGGTTCGTTCTCTTTCTGTTCCATCCAGGCTACAAGCCTTTTGCTGGTGGTAACCACACCTACGGTTGGCTTTCTTTGCTCTGTAAATCTGTTATCCACACCCAGAACCACACTAATCCAGTCAGTGAACTAGTATCACACCTGTGATCCAGTCACCTTTCAGAAGCCCCACCTTGCAGAAGCAGTGAAGCTTGGAATACTCTTTATGAGTAGATAAGGAGGAACACAGAGAAACACTGCTGTTACCTGGGTCTGAAGATGGAAAGAGACCCCAAGGGGGCAGGTGGCTGCCGTGTCTGTCTTCCCATTCACCGATCCAAGGAAGTAAATCAGTATTTTTTTTTTTTTTTTTTGTTTTTGTGGAACTGGAGATTGAACTCAGGCCCTTGTGTTTGCCAGGGAACTGCTTATTCTACTGAGCTAGCTTTGGCCCCTGTAAACCAGTCTTACACCGCAGTGCATGTGTATTGCCCTTTGGTGGCTGCTGGGTGCCCCCACCAGCTTTTTTTTTTTTTTTTTTTGTCTTTTTGAGACAGGGTCTCAGTGTACAGTTCAGGCTGGCCTTGAGCTCACTTTGTAGCCCAGGCTGGTCTCCAGCTTGCAACTGTCCTCCTGCCTCAGCCTCCCAAGTGCTGGGATTACAGGTGTGAATCACCACACTGGCTTTCACTAGCTGTTAAAGCAGCAGGTCTTCTGAAGAACATGGCTGAACTTGGATTAGAAGCCTCCTTGTGAATAAGCATTGATGTATATGCTGGCTTGAGTGGCTGACACAGTTTTACCCTTGACGGCAGGTGGTCTTTTGTTTTGGTTTTCAGAACTTACTCCAGCAAAAGGACTGTGAACTTGGATTACCTCTCACACATAAGAGACGCACTTGTCCAGCCCTTGGCTTCGCAAGGGGTAGAAGGAGTACAGGATGTTGTTGCACTTATGGACACATACTATTTGATGAAGGACGACTTTGAGAACATCATGGAGATCAGCAGCTGGGGTGGTAAACCCAGTCCCTTTTCCAGACTGGATCCTAAGGTGAGCTGTGCCACCCAGTGGTTCTCTGTTCTTTGCAATGACCACGTTTGGCGTAGTGGTGCCATAGGGATGTTTCAGGGGCTTTAAAGTTTTCCCACCATATGTGCTTATTGCATGTGCCTCATGGGCTTTGCTTTCCACAGGTAGTGTTTGAGTATTGTCACAGGACAAGGCTTTAGTCCCTTCCCTCTGGACACAGTGCCTGATGCCCACAACTGGGAGTGCTACCGTGTATTTTGACTCATGGTCTCAGTCCATGGTTGGCAGGCTACACAGCAGAGACAGGATGGCAGAGGGGCATGGCAGAGAAGATGCTCTGGCCACAATACACCTAACCCCACCAACTGATAGCAAGTCTGCCGTGACCTCTTCCGTGCACTCATCCACCAGTGAGCGTGATGCTCCTTTGATCCAATCACTTTCCATACACAGGAGGGCTGGGGACACATTTTAGATAAAAACCATAATAGATGGGGAGGCTGAGGCAGGAGGACCACAAGTTTGAGCCCAATCTGGGCAACTTAGTGAGACCCTGTTTCAAAATAAGCAGAAGGGATTCCAGCTAGTGCCCAGGCCCGGCGTGTGAGTGGGGCAGCCCAGGGCCCTCCAGATCCTCATTCAAGCCAGGGCCTAGGCCAGGCGTGTGAGTGGGATAGCCCCAGGCCCACCAGGTCCTCATTCCAGCCTCCCAGCCCCGGTGTGTGTGTGGGATCACCTGCCTGCCCACTGCATCCTCATTATAGCCAGCGCCCAGGCCAGGCATGTGTGTGGAACTTCTTCCATTAGACGGGTCTGGTGTGGAACCCTGCAGCAGAACTCCCTGCAGAGAGGCTAGAAGCAAGACCCACCCAGCTAACCCAGGAACAGAACATCTTGCCAGAGTGGCACAGCAGGTTGATTTCTAAGGGCTGCAGCAGGAAGAGGTAGAGCATAGATGCCAAACCCAAGTCATACCCACCTGGATGAGTTTGAACATGGTAGATCTGGACCTGGTGCTAAGGTCATAACTGCACCAAAGCTCTGCACCAAAGTTCAGAAGACAGTGCTGTACAAAATGACAAGAAGAATGCATTTTCAGTCCCTGATCCCACCCAGAACAAATGCAGGAGATAATAGCATAGAAGAAGAAATTGGAAATCACACACCTAAAATCTCTGAAATAATAGTGTCTGAAGTAAACAACTGCAAAAGGGTGTAGAGGAAATAAGATGAGAAATAATTTCTGAAGTAAAAAAAGAACTAACTATAATGAAAGAATTACTAAGTGCTTGTAAAGAAGAGACTGATAAAAAAATAGAGGATAGAATAATGATGGAATACTTGAATGAGCAATATAGGAAAGAAATAGAATGCATGAAGCAGATTCAAAGAGATACACAGGAAATTAAGATCTCAATCATAAGTTGGCGAAACCATTTAAGTGAAAGTGAAAATAGCCTTTCAGACCTTGAAGATACCATTGCCGGTAGTGAAAAGGTAAGAAAAGATCTCTTAACTAGGATGCAGGAAAAAGTAATTCAACATTTCAAGACGATGCAAAGATGAACAGTGTAAGACTAAGGCATTAATGTGAAAGGAGTCAATACACATAATATAAAAAGAATATGGGCAGAAGTAATAGCAGAAAACTTCCCAGATATGGGGAAACAATCTGACATTCAGGTAACCGAAGCATATAGAACACCAAATGACATCAACCCAATTAAATCCACACCCAGACATATAATAATTAAGATCCCAGAAATTCAGCACAGGAACAGTATACTAAAAGCTGCAAAAGAAAAGAATCATATCACATTTAAAGGAAAACCCATCAGAATAACAGCAGATTTCACAAACCATCAAGTCAAGAAGAGCATGGAGCAAAGTACTACAAGTCTTGTAAGAAAACAAATTCCAACCCAGACTGATATACTCCGCAGAACTCTCTTTCAAGTTTAATGGAGAAGTGAAATACTTCCATGACAACACCTAAAGAATTTCATGATGACAAAGCCAGCCCTCTAGGCTACTAAAAGATATTCTAGAGAGGGATCAAAGTGACTGCAACTCCATGAGTGAGAACAGAAAGAACCCACTAAATAGGGCAAACACAGGAGAAAAAGAGTATATAGCAGCAGGGAAATAACATGTCAGACATAAGTCAGTACATCTCAATTGTAACCATCAATGTAAACGGACTTAATTCACCAATTAAAAGAAATAGACTGGCAGAGTGGATTAAGAAGCAAAATTCAGTAATATGCAGTACAAGACTTCATCTATCAATTGATTGGTTTATCTTCAAAGTTCTGTCTAGCTGGTAATTTCAGTAGTTCTATAATTTGTGCCTCAGGAATACAATTGTTTTCATGAATCATAAATAATATTTTGCTTGGCTTTCTGACTTATTGACTTAGAAATAAATTTTCTACAAGATTAGAATTCAGTGTAGATGTTGCCAAAGTCCTTATCAATTTGAATGTGGGGAAATTGAAGAAGTCATGTACCCCCCCCCTGCAAAAAAAAAGAGGTATTCTGTACTATACATCTTAGTTTTGGAATATGTCTATAAAATAAGCATGTGTGTATACTGTTCTCAAATTCTGTAATTATTTTAAAGAAAAAGTCATCTAAATCACATTCTCATTGTTAAATGATAAATTCTTTTCTAATTCTGGAGAGTATATAAGAAAACTAAGAAATTTTATTGGTAAATATCACTTTTTGTGTTATGTTTTAGATATTTCTTTAAAATAGGTATTTAATTGAAGGATCTTCATTTGGCCTCTGATCTGCTTCTTGATTTTGAATTTTTCCTTTTTTTTGTATTAATGTTCAGGTTTGGATTTTGGTTATGTAGTTTTTACTGTTTTTAATGTGAAAATATGTGCTCTTGTATTTATCATTCTTCTGTTTTCAACACTGCTGTGGTTTGAAATGTCACACTTCTTGATATTTGTTAAATCCTAAAATCCTATGAGTAGGTTTCAGACCAGTGTTCTTGACTCTTCATTTTGTTTAATTCAGTGAGACTTTTTGATGTGTGTATATGTGACATACACAACAGTCTTTGCTGTTCTCTATGTCGTCAGCTGTATGAAAGTTATGAACATAATACTTTTTAATTTTCTATAAAAAGTAGAAAGTAAAAATAAAATATAAAATAAAATAAAATTCTAAAAAAAGAGCAGAAGGAGGGCTGGCCGTATAGCTCAGTGGACTAAAGCTCCTGCTTAGGCAGCATGCAGAGGCTGGGGTTCGATCCCCAGTGTGCCATGCCAGCCCTGCCTCCAGGGTGCGCTGAGACTGGGATTGAGACTGGACGTGGTGGCATACACCTGTATCCTAGCATTTGGGAGGCTGAAAACAGGAGAATCACTACAAGTCCAACCTACATAGTGAGACCCTGTAGACCCTGTACTCCGTAGACCCTGTACTAAATGTTTAAAAAAAAGTGTAAGAGGAGGAGAAGGAAGAATGAAGTGGGGACAAGAGGAAGATTTCTGGATTGGACATTTGTGTGTTTGTTTTGGCTTCATGCTTAGTGGAAAAGCAAGAAGTCACATCTGAGGAGCAAATATAATTAAGAGTAGAGGGATTAAGTTAGGGAAGTACGAGTGAGGTGATGGTAGGGCTATAAAATAATGATTTTCCTGGCCAGGGAGTTTGGTACTTTTTCTACTTAAGCTGTATATTCAGAATTTATTCCAGTTGAACAATCTACTAGGTAAAAAGCATGGCCCCTCTTTACTTGTAGGATTAAAATGACACAGATCTAGCACCTCACTCCTGGGCAAGTTTACTAGATGCTGTGTTAGAGGACATAGTATGATTTTTCCTTTAGAGTTTTGACCTGACTTAATGGTCCTCAGCAAATTAAGATGTTAGGGACCTGCAGGGTCTAGAATTAGGTTTGGAAGCTTGAAGGTAAGTTAGCTTATGTGTTGTCAGTAAAGGCCAGCTATACTTTATAATGAGCCTTTTGTTTTTTAGTTCTTGGACTAACTTTGCTTATCATTTTGTAGAAATTTTTTTTTATAGAAATATTTTGAATAGGTAAAAATATGATTTTAAGTGACCTTTCTTGTTTGCCTAACATTCACAGATATTGATTTTTTTAAAAAATCTTTCTTGGGTCATGGGTCTAGGAATGTCATGAAAAATATGGAACTTCGCCATAGAAAAGTGGATTTATAATACTGATATTTACCATCTGTGAATACTACAATATGCATAAATATTTTTGCAGATAGTTACAGGTGGGCTTCCAGGCTTTTCTTTCAAAGAGTTACATAGGGCTAGTGATACAGCTCAGGGATAAAGCACTTTGCCTAGTGTGTATAGGGCCCTGCCTTCAGTCCCCAGCACTTAAAAAAAATGGTTACAGCCTTAAAAGATTTTTACAGTTTCTTCTCCTCCCGCTGTTCCTTTTGTGCAGGTGAAAGCGGCCTTCACAAGGGCTTACAATAAGGAGGCCCACCTCACCCCGTACTCACTTCAGGTAATAAAGACTCCAAGATCCAGTACAGGCCTGATCCTGGATTCTGAATACAACGAAGAGCTACACGAAGATGGTTCCCAGTCTGAAGAGAAAGACCAAGATGCTATAGAGACCGATGCTATGATCAAGGTAGTGCTTCAAGCTACACACTGCAGAGCCTCAGAATAGATGATCTTTTTATAAATAGTTTCTTATATTAGAAGAGTTAAATAGCAAGAAAATAGGTCATTGAATTGATGCCATATGATCTGAAAGGAAAAGAATCTTTTTTTTTTTTTAAATTTGGGCATTGGTATATACATACTTATCCACAGCATAAACATTTAAAAAAAAAAAATTCCATTTCTTCCTTCTGTATTTGTGTTTGCTGTAGCCATTGAACTGCCCGGTGAAGTTATTGAGAGCAAAACCTGCCCTTTTATTGTCTTTTCTCTGGGAGAGGTGAGACTCCTCGTGTGAGGTTTCTCCTTCCTTAGGTGGCCTGCATGTTTCAGCTACGCATTCTTGGATTGGAGCCACCAGGCAGGGCAGTAGCCTTCTCCAGTGTGGCACTCTACTGTGCCTGAGAGATTGTGTCCCCCTCTGTCTTCCTCCTTCATAAAATGAATGTGTTTAGTTCTCCAGCCTGGAACTGAAAGAAAATAAAGTTCTTCATGTGCCCATTACCATTTTGGTAATCATCTTTTTAAAATTTTGTCTTTTGTAAAAATACCTATATTCCAAATCCAAGAAATTGCCTTACATGGTAACATATCTTGGTTCTAGATTCTGATGTTTTCAGTTTTCACAGACATTGTTAGCTCTGACGAGCTGAGATGTTAAATCCACTCACCAGAGGTAGCAGTAGTCCATAAGCCAGACATCTGCACCTCTCTTTTTTTTCAATTAAGCTGGAGGTAAAGGTTAGGTATGCTGTAGAGACAGGCTTATGTCATTTACTTATAAACACAGCTACTAACTACTGTGTTTATTTTTCTCCCAACAGAAAAAGACAAAATCTTCAAAGCCTCCCAAAGCAGAAAAAGATAAAGAGCCCAAGAAAGGAAAAGGAAAAAGTTTGAAGAAATGAAACCATTTTCAGTACCAGCAGCCACGTTTCTGTCTCTCTCCTGCTCAGTCTTGTGGGTCTGAGGAAAGCCTTATTTTTCCCAGGGAGCCACATTCGGCATAACAGGGACAACCTGGCACCCCCTTTGTACAGCGTGGTACAGCTAGTAGGATATAACTGGAAGGCTCACGTACACCTCTTATAGAGGTTGATAGACTGCTGTGGTCCTCCACTGTCGCCTGCCAATCAGATTGTGGTGTTTCAGAATGACTGTATCTCATTAGAACTAGGAAGTACGAATGGGCTTTGTGGTCAGATTTTAGTTTGCAGTAACCATCCTAGGAGCACTGGTACTGAGGCATCTTCTACATGCTGCTGAAGTTAAAACCCCTAATGGCCTTTATAGGACCAATGCTAATTTTTTAAAAAAAGTTCTTATGTGGTGAAATTTTGTAAATAAATCATAATACAAAATAGTCACCACCTAGAACTGGGTATTCTTTGTATATTGTCAAATATCTTGCAAAGTATAAATTAGGAATCAAAATGTTCCACATGATACATGTACAAACTTTTCTAAGATTATCATCTTGTACAGCAAAATGCCTTGTTGGCGTATTACTTATTAATTTGCAAGTGATTGGATTAAAAAGCTCACAACCAATTGTGTGAAACATTAAGAGTCAGAGTCAAGAGCTTGAATTTGCAGTGTTCCTTGCTCTATGCTGACGTCGTCACTGCGGTCAGTACTCTCCTGGAGGGGCCTTGTGGGACGCTGGAGGGCATGGGCACTGTAGAAAGGTCGCCAGACTCCTGTCCTGTACAGGCTGAGCCCAGCAGGCTCAAACCAGTAGGGCCAAGGTGGGGTCACATTCTGAGACTCTGGCTGGGCCCGGAACCCTGGCTGTTTACTGTGTCTCTGGAGATTGGGCTCTGTTCTGTAACGGAGCCCACAGATCTTCGGACTCTGCCTGTAATGCTTGTGAATGGCCCCAAGGCTGTAGATCTAGCCTGGAGTTTAGGTGCCAGCTGCTTTTTAATCTGGTCAGGAAATACTCTGTGATGTAGACATCATGAATAATGTAAAATAAGCATGTCTTCTCCCTTTAAGGACTTGTTTTGTTGGTGATGAGACATTTAAGGTGTATTTACCAGGGTGAAATATGTTTCATAGAGATCAATTTATATGAAAATAAAGCATTGCCTTCAATGTCCTCCCCACCCCCCCAAGCCAGGCTGCTGACCTGGCTGCGTCAGTGCAGGCTTTCCAAGCAGGCGGGTGAACGTGGTGTTCACACATTGGTTGTGCAGGTCCTGCCTCCCCCATGTGTTCAGTGTGCTCCAGGGAAGGCCTGTAACCTTACAGAATGAGCAGCGTCCTTAAGGTATGCATGATTTGAATTATGAATACTCTGCATATGATGGCATCATGTATATAAGGTAAAAAACAATTAGAAACTATAAAATATATGAGGATGATGCTGTGGGACCACTTGATCCCTCTTTGAAGCCCTCGTGAAGGGAGTGGAGGTGCGTGGCGGGAGGGAGTGAGATCTGGCATTTGGATGTGATTGAAAGGTCTGTGTTGTGGGGTTGAGTCTTCACTAGTGCTACTAATGGGATGGCCTTTTGGAGCCATCCACTGCCACACATCATCTTTGAACATAAAACTAGGTGAGATCCATACTCACAGTGACATTATTTGACCTCTTGAAGTTATAGACGAATAGACTGGTTTATGCGCTAGGGATAGCATATCTTCCTAAACAAGTTCTCCTGTGATCATGCTCATGAGCGAATGTCTAAGGCCTGCAGTTCACAAAATAGAAGGTGTTCACTCCCTCCAGGGATAACAGGGTGAAGCCGGGGACGTGCATAGGTTTTATGTTAATAACCCATGTCATACTGCTTAGTGAGGCCGAGATCCGTGGCCTAGGAGGGAAGGGCAGATCATAAAGTGGAGGCTTCATGTGTGTGTGGCTACCTGGTGCTATAAAGCACTGTCTTCTTTTGCCCCAGCTCCTAGGTACCACTGTAATGCTCAGGTTGCTGGGGGATGCAGTGTAAAATCATTGATTCATTCAGTTTCACTCATGACTCAGTTTTCAGACTTTGGTGCAGGGGGCCATGGACAGCAAGGAAGTTTTATACTGGACTTGTAGAAGGGTTTCTTTGGAGTATATGGTAGAGTGTGTGTATGTGTGTGCGCAAACTGATTTTTTTCTCCTGGGAAGTCAAATAATTTACTTTGTAATAGAAATTCCATAGTGTACAGCTGAATGACTCAGATAATTCAGCTTTTAATTTCATTCATTTCTTTTAAGAATGGGTTCTGCTGATTTTTCATGAATTGATCCCTGACTCTTCTGCTAAATAACCCTGACTTGTATAAACTTACTTCAGTTTTTGTACTGTTAACCTAGTGTTACTCAGACTTCACAAGTGTGCTCCAAAGCTACCTTTGATCTCTTTTTTTAGTTTCCGAATCCAAGAAAAAACACTGCATCTCTAGTCAACAATTTTATTTTAAAGGTGATATTTCAAAATATAAAAGCTATCAAAAGGCTGAATATTTACAGTTGTTATAGATTATAGTACAGAACATAGAATATGTAAAATGTTGGAGACAAGATATACAAAATACAATAAACAGCAAGGTTACATGTCACTAAACAGAGTTGGAAGTGCTGAAGGGAGGTCATCTCTTTTTCTGAAGCCAGGAAGGACTGTCCTGAAATCCAGCAGGAGTGGAAGCTCAGCCTCAGGACAAATGTGTCTTTCAGGAAGGAGTGTCACCTCTGGAAAGGACAACTGGGTACCTTTAGGAGGGTGCCACGTAACGGCCGCTTTGAGTAATGCAGCCACATTTTCTGTGCATTTCTGGAACGTTCAGCAGAAGCACAACAACATTCAAATGGGATATTTCCAGTCTGGAATAGCGGCTGTGTATGAGGGCAGGCCGCCTGGGCTGTAGCTGTTCTCTGTGGAAGAACAACGCCACCTCCTGGGAAGAAGGCAAATGTGCATGTAAGTGTTGAGCAAACTGGAGAACCTTTTTCTTGAAGCTAAATTCCTTGTTTGTGTTTTTTTATTTTTTGGACCAGGACTCACTGTATTAGCAGACACTGTGGCTTTTTCAAAAGATGGTGTGTTTTTTGTTTTTTTTTTTTTCCCTTATACCTGGGATTGAACTCAGGACCTTGCACTTGCCAGGCAGGGGCTTATGCCGCTGAGTTATTTCCCTGGCCTGGCACATTTTGATAACTCTGAAGGTGCACCTGCAGAGGGCTAGGACACTCGTGGGTCACATCCTTCTGGTTCTCTGTAAAGGATTAGCCACTGTGCTGTTTGGAGAAGTTCTGTGGACGTTTATTATAGGGTTTCACTTTTGGAAGTGGCAGATGTAATTTTTCCGCAGATGATAAATGAGAAACTTGGGGACAAAGCATAGAAATACAGTAACTACTCAGAGGTATCAGAGAACAGCCAAAACTTTCAGGCACAAATTAGGAAGGTAGAAGCCTTTCAAAGAAGTGGCAGCAGAGCCCTGCTGGGGAAGATTCATGCCGCATAGCTCTTCACCTGCTTGGGGACAGGCAGGTGTCCATGAGGCGCAGGGCATGGGATGGTGAGAGCATCAAGTCCTGTGAGCTTGAGTCACAAGAGTTGGTGGCTGCCGGGGTGATGGAAATGTGACAGGTGTGCTGGCAAGGGCTGCTTCAAATCTGTAAGTGTCCCTAAAATCCTTGAACTTTGTGTGCTTTGGGGAGCCTCACTCAAAGCCAGGAAACAGAACAGCTCAAGGTTGATCTAAGCTGAGCTTAGCTGCTGGGCAGAGTTTGAGTTTAGCTGCTGGTTGGAACAAAGTCAACATTTTGTAAAGGCAAGTAGAGAATCTCAAGGCTTTACATCCATAATGTCCAGCATACAGTAAAGTATTACTAATTTGTATGTGTGTATATGCGTGTGTATACATATGCACATACACAGCAGGCACGTGTGACATAAGGAAGAAAATCAATAGAAAATGCTGCTGAGATCACTGATTGGCTGGACTAGGGACTGAATCCAGGGAGCGCTGAGCCACAGCTCCACTCTCTTTAAATTTTCCTTGGAGACAGAGTATCATTAAGTTGTCCTGCTGCCCTAGGCTCATTTGAAGTAGCTAGAATTACAGGACAGGCCACCAGGCCCAGCTGACACAGAAGCTGAAATAACAACAGGGACTTTAAAACAGCTTTTCCCTGCCCCGTCCCCACGCACATGTCACTTACCGTGGAGACCGGCTGCGTACGCAGATCCTACCTCAGTCCTCCTTGTGCAGCCAGTCCTTCCCACCTAGCTCCCTACTGTCATCTACTGTTCTTCTAAATTATTTATATTCTGGGTTTCTTGTGTAATAACTTGGCTATTTTAAATACGTTCTATGACCTAAAGGTGGATACAGTCTCAAGGAATGACAGATGGGGAACTCAGAAAAAAAATTAAAAACATGATGTTCTAAAACTGAAAAGTATAAAATTTGCAATAATTTTACTTAGATTAGCAAATGAACATAGACCAAAGATAAATATAAAGAACAGAAAAACAGGGGCTGGTGAGATGGCTCAGTGGTCTAAAGCACCTACTTAGAACAAGCTAAGCCAAGCAAAGCACAGGGACCTCGGTTCAATCCCCCAGCACCACATGCCAGCCTGCCCGCCCCCTGGTGGGCTGAGCTGGCCACACACAAAAAATAAATAAATAAATAAATAAATAAATAAATAAATAAATAAATAAATAAATAAATAAATAAATAAATAAACAAAACAGAAAAACAGTGAAAGAGTCCTCATGTCCAGTGGCTACCAAGGAGTCAAATATAGTCCTGAGTCCTACACTGAGAGGTAGAAATTTGTAGAGATATATTTAAAGACTTAATGACCTCATTAATTTCCAAATAAGTGACAAAGTACACAGATGTAAGAAAACTAGAAAATCCCTAAATGAGTAAATAAAACTATACTTCATACAGTCAGAAGCCTAAAAAGAGAGGGGCAGGGGAGATCGCTCAGTAGAATAAGCACTTGCCTGGCAAGCGTGAGGGCCTGAGTTCAATCCCTGTTCTGCAAAAAAAAAAAGGTCTAAAAAGAGAATTGCAGGGAGGGGGCTGCCCATTAGCTCAGTTGTTTAAGTGTCTGCTAAACAAAGCACTCAGTCTCAGGATGCTATGGTTCAATCCCCAGATCCTCATACCTTACCAGACCTGCCCTTAGGGCATGGTGAACCAGCTCCCCCCCAGAAAAAATCCTTCTAAAAAGAATGTTTTGAATGCAGCCATTAAGAAAACAATATATACAAGAGAATGAGGATTTTGAAATTGGTGATGAGTATCTTGAAAGTACTTTAAGAAAAAAAAGCAACAAGCACAAGGGCCTGAGTTCAATCCCTGGTTCCGCCAAAAAAAAAAAGAAAAAAAACAGCAAAACTAGAATTTCAGATCAAGTGAAAACATCCTTCAAAAATGAAAATTGGAGCGAGTCACAGCAAATGTGCACCTGATGGAAATGCTACAGGAGGACGGAGATGTTACAGGAGGAAGTTCTTGAGGCTGAAAGGAAGAGAAGCCAATTGAGATCTGGCCTTAGGAAAGCGAAACACCATGGGAGTGCTGACATGGTAGTAAGCACAGGTTACACATGTTTTTTCTTAAAACTTCTTTAAAAAATATGATTGAAGAAAAATGACACCTGGACATGGTAACACGTGCTTTTAATCCCAGTTACTCAAGAAACTGAAGCAGGAGGATCCCAAGTGCCTGTTTAAGCAACTTAGCCTCTGTCTCAATGTTTTTAAAAAGGGCTGGAGATGTAGCTCAGTAATAAATAGACTGCTTGCCTCATATAAGTGAGGCCAGGGGTTTAATCCCCAGTACCTCCCGGACTCTTTAACACACAGAGAAAAATATCGTTGTAGTATAGGAATTTTTATTTTTATTTATTTATTTGTTTATTTTTTTGCGGTACCGGGGATTGAACTCAGTACCCTGCACTTGCCAGGCAAACGCTTATTCTATTGAGCTATCTCCCCAGCCCTGTAATATAGGATTTATAGTGAGTTGTATGCATGTATGTATACATATGAAATAGTATGCTAACCAAGTAAAATTTGGAAAGGTCTTTAAAGACCTTTCTATATAGAGAAATAAAATACTAAAAAACATGAATGAAAGCAAGAGGAACAAAAACCAAAAAGCACATAAGGCAAATAGAAAACAAAATTGCATTCCTAAATTTAACCCGATAACAAAACTTGAAATTACAACAGAAATTTACAACTATCCTTTATAAATATACATATTTTCAGTATAATATTAGCAAAATAATACAGCTATCCATGAACCTGGGTTAAAATCAAGTATGTTTATCCTCTGAAAGTTAATGTTCATACTCAAAAAACAATATAACTTTTTTTTAAATATAACTTTCTAAATGACTGGAATAAAGGAGAAATCTACAGTTACTTCTCAATTGGTAGAGAAAATACATCTGACAAAATTCAACAGCAAACTGGAATACAAAGAAACTTATTTTAAAGAAAGAAAGCCTCTAAACTACCTCACAGCTAAACACTGTGGCAGTGAAACCCCCAGTGCCACTCCCAGCACTGGGAGCAGGTCAAGGGCGCTGACTGTACTTGGATCCCACATGGACTGGGGAGCCTGACCAGTGGGATACACAGACGAAAAGAAATCTTGCACATTAGGAAGAAAGACATGGTTATTTGTAGATGTGGTTATTTATACAAATCTGAAGGACTCTACAACTGGCATGTGAATTTACAGAATAAGTCAGCTGCATTTTTCCATACAGACAAGATGAAAATTAAATTCTGTTTAGTATCAAACTCCTCCCAAATCTACCCTAAGAATAAACTGAACCTGACTTTTGCATAGAAAATTACAAAATATGGTCAAATAGAATTGAAAAGGATTAAAATTGAGAGACAATAGATTGGCAGGAGAGCTTTGCTAAAGATGTCATTCCTCTTCAAAATGACCCACCAAATCAGTGTAACTGGTAGGCAGAGCGCCATCCTTGGGACACACACCCTGTATGTTCCTAAGTAGCGGAGGCTGGTGCTGTGATGTCATCACATTGGCCTGTGTTACCTGACAAGAGGAAGGGCTTTACAGATGTAGTTACGGTTCGTAGTCAGCTGACTGAACTAATCAAAAGCTCACTGGAGGAGGGCCTAACCCGAGCTCCCTGGCTGCAGACTCCCACAGGTGGCAGAGATGCTCAAGCTGTGGACCAGGTCAGGAGCCTGCAGCCGTGGGCACTGAATTCCACCACCACTCTGTACTAGGAGAGGATTTCACACCCAAGTGAGGTTACTGGTCCAGTCAGAACTGTGGCCTCCTGTGAGTCTGAGCAGAAGACTGCTAAGACTGCTAAATGTACAAGATGTCACATCTGTGACAGTTTGTTACATGGCAAACAACTCCCAAGCACAGAACTTAAAATAATCTTTATTAGCTAGGTCTAGGTTTTTTTTTTTTTTTAAGATAGGATCTCACTGTGTGGTTCAGGCTGGCCTCAAAAGCATGGTGATCCTTCCTCAGCCTCCTGAGCTTTGGGCTTACAGGTGTGCACCACCACGGCTGGCCTGATTTTTTTTTGGTCTGTGAGATAGGGTCTTGCTATGCAGTTCAGGCTGGCCTTGAGCTGTGTAGCCCAGGCTGCTCTCAAACTCACAATGATCCTCCTGTCCCAGCCTCCCAAGTGCTGAGATTATAAGTGTGTGCCACCACATCTGATTTGATGAAATATGTTTGACCTTTGTTACTCTGGGGGCTGTAGTACTTAATACTACTTTGCTCTCAGACTGTCCCAATGAGGCAGTTATTTTAAATGACACACAGGATGCGTGGAGGCCAACGGGAAGGACAGGTTGTGAGTGCCCGAGGACGTCCACAACTCACCTGTGTGCTCCTCACTGTCCCACCTCGGGGCGTAGGTACGGGGTGCAGTCTAGCATTCTTTTCAGGTGGGTGGAGTTTAACCTCTCTGAACACATAGGACATGTGCTTTCAGTGTTTAACAAGCTGTTTTGGGGAGGAAAATGCAGAGTCAGATGCACAATCCATGACCTTGGCTTAGGTACTCTATTAGGAAAGAGCGCTATTTTCTGTGGTCACAGCACTCATCATGCAACTTGAGAATTAGAAATACTCGGCCTCCTACAAGGCCCTCATAAAGATAATGTTCTCAGAGGTCACTTGAGTTTCTTCCAAGAGACAATTGGGGGCTTTAAGGATCTTTAGGAATGTGAAGAACGGAGAGTTTAGAATAAAGGATTGGTACGAGAGGCCTAGTTTTGGATAAATGTGACAGGGTGCACACTTACATCTTAAATTCTGAGTATAGCGCCGGGAAGTCACAGTGTGGACACACTGTCCAGTCATCTTTCAACATATGTCGACCCTGGAAGCAGTACATTGGAGAGTAAAATTCATCTG